CCTTCCGGGCTCCCTGCTGCTGGGAAGCAGCACAAAATGACAAGGATGTGACCGATCAGAAATAAAGGCTTTGCAAAAGCTCCAGTGAGCTTGGTCAGGTTATGGATTCTGATTCCTGCAGGAAGCTTTGCTTGGCATCCCTGAAAATTCTTTTGGTTTTTATTTTTCTGGATAAAATTCGTGTTTTCTTTGAGGAACACTGTTGGGATCAAGCTGCCTTTGCAGCCAAGGCTTGGAAGCAGTGTGGGCAGCAGCCACGGTGTGCTGGTCCACAGGCAATAGCCCTGCTCTGGGCAGCAGTGGCCATGCCAGCCCCTTCCCTGGCCCAGCAAACCCAGAGGCTGCCTCCTGCTGTGTCAGGACCTGTAGAGTAGATGAGCTGCATGTGAGCAGACCATGGACCCTTCCGACTTTCTGCCTCCTGTCATGGCAAAGCCCTCGGAGATGCCTGATCTGATACAGCCGCATCCCCTGGGTCAGTTCTTTGATTTCTCCCTGGTGATGCCCAGGGCTTTGCCATGTCCTGGTGCTCACCAGGCTCAGTGCCCCGTCCTCCTCTTGCTCACCAGCTCACCACCACCAGCAACCTTTGCTTGCCCTCACTGCTGGCAGCAGCGCAGTCACTGCTCCACCCAGCTGATGATGTGGCAGGGGGGGACAGGGGTGAGGTTCCCACTTCCCTCTTCCAGTTTTATTTCAACCTGTGCCGAGGTCATGTGAAAGCTGCTGCGTGACAAATGCCATTTGTCTGGGGCAGACTCCTCCATTGCCTGGTGTCAGTTACTGGTGCTGAGCCCCTGGTGCTCTGTCCTGGTGATTTCCCTGTATCCCCATGAGCTGGTCCCTTCCTGCTCTGCCCACACGTCTCATTTGTCTTGGTTCTCATTTCTCCTCCTGCTTCACATTTCTGCTCGTTTCATGCCTGTGCCAGCTGCTCTCTGCACTGCGAGGCACTGATCAGACCCCAGGGCCTGGGGCTCCTGCTATGCTTTCCTCCCCTCTGACTTGTCCCTTTGCCAGGCTATGTAGTAATCCTGCACGGACTGCTGTGAACATCCTAGGTAGTGAACTTTGTGCTGCACTGATGGTGTTTTCTGCCATCCACTTGTATTAATGCTCTGATTGGAACAAAAAGAACCTTTTACAGGGGCCAGCATGAGTCTTCTGTTACTTAGTGATCTCCAAGCACAAAGTGATTGCTCTGCTATTGATTACTGTAGAACATCTCAGCACATAGTGAGAGAACCTGCACTGCTGTTCTACACTGCTGGACACTTCAGATTTGGCTGGACAGGGTGCTTGGACATATAGTCTAGGTCATGCTTTGCCTAGGAAGGTTGTAGCAGATGATTCTTCAACCTAGTGTTCTATGATTCTCTGCTCTGCTTCTCTGGGTGCTCCCATAGCAGCCCACGGTGGTGGGTGCTGCTTCAGCTCCAGCAGTCCAATCCCAGTAGCTCTCTGGCAGGGGGCTGCCAGCTTTGCTGTGAGTGACAGGAGCACACTGATCTAAGGAGAGGGTGACCGTGTGTTCCTACTTTATCTGCTCACTGCTTCCCCTTACAGCCCAGGTTTAGATGACATCCCAAATCATACTGGTTCCATACTGGTTTATGCTGGTGGTTAAGGGTAGCCTTGACTGCCTCCTGGGCTGGTGCGATACAAGCCCATCTGAAACGTGGGTGAGTCTGTAGCTTACATTTGACCCAGTGAAATGCAAAGGGTCAGACATCAGACACTGAAATTAATCTCCAGAAGTGTCAGACCTGGGTGGTTCTGTGTGGGCCTCGCTCATGTCTGCATTGCCCAGTGACACAGCTCTTGGTAAAAGCTGCTATCTTGGGTTTTGAGGCCCCTTGTCTTCCCCAGAGCAGGTGAGGAGCCAGCTCCAGGGCTGAGACATGCTTGGTGCAGATGACCATAGAATCCCAGCCTGGTTTGGGTTGGAAGAGACCTTAAAGCTCATCCAACTCCAACCCCTGCCACGGGCAGGGACACCTTCCACTAGAGCAGGTTGCTCCAAGCCCCTGTGTCCAACCTGGCCTTGAACACTGCCAGGGATGGATGCTGTGTGTAGCGCTGTGTTCGCTGTGAAGCTGTGGTATGTGGGATGTGGAGCTGCAGGAGGGAGGAAAATAATCTTGTGTTTTGGCAGCCCTGAGTTTGTCTCTTGCCTTATGCTCAGCGAGGTCTCTGGCTGCAGGACAGTCACCTCCCGTTCCTCATTGTGCGTGGGTTTAGAGTGATTTGGAGAAGAGGGTTTAGAGTGATTTGGAGAAGAGGGTTTAGAGTGATTTGGAGAAGTGTGAGCTTCATGGTGCAAAATACATGCAATTCCAGCAACAAACTATGCTGGAAGGGTTGCAAACTCTCTGACATATCTTACACTAGTCATTACTCATGGAATTGGCATGGTAATGACTAGATGGTAGTTGGTCTTGGAAGTTGGCTTCTGAGATGGCTGCTGTGGGTCCCTGGCTCCATGAGCAGGGTGCTCTGCTTCTTATTCTTTCTTGCTGATACTGACCTGTAGCAGAACCTGCTTTTTGGTCTCTCCTGTGGCTCTCAGCATGTGCCTGTGTATGTTGTGATCGAACAGGGAATTCCCAGCAATTTCTCTGTGCTCAGCTGTGAGCTATCTCAAGCCCAGGTATCCCCAGGACAAACTCATTTTCATGGTCTCTCCCCACACTCTAGTGTGTGCCAGGAGGTCTTGCTGGGGCCTCATGGCAAGAGTTGCCCACTGAAATCACTGTGACATGTCTTCAACTGCACAGAGGAACCTGCAGCCTTCCATGGTGGATGGAGGAAAAGAGGCAGCAAAAGGGCTTGATCTCCTCTTGAGGCAAACGTTAGATGAGCTTCACCCAGAAGCATCTTTTCTCCTCCCATAGACTTGCAGGAGCTCAGGGAATGTGTCCCCACTGCTGATGTCTCAGTTTGGTCAGATGAACCGTGTTGTCTGGGACAAATAGAGCCTCATCCTTCTTTGCTGCTGTAAAGGGAAAAATAACGTGCCCTGGAGGGAAAGGGGAGCAGCAGGCTCCAAACCACACCAGCCAGCTTGTCCCCGAGCACGATGCTGATGACCCAGCTGTGGGGCAGGAAATGCCGGGGCAGGGGGCTGCCAGTGTCCTGTTATTGCTGACGAGGAGTCTGACACACTTGGGCACAGGGACAAAGGGGGGCAGCGGGCTCCCTGATGCTGCTGGATGTTTCTGCCCTCCAAGGAAACTCCTGGACCAGGTCGGGTCCTCCTCCTGGCGCAGGGGGAAAAAACAAGCTGTGGAGAGGAACACTTCGTGTCCTTTTAAGGCAATCCAAAGGCTGGGACTGGAATGACCAGGCTGGAAGGGAGGGATCTGGCACCGCGGCGCATTCAGAAGAGAGACTTCCCGTGCGCTGGGCTCACACCCAGGCACGGCTCCTGCCCCTGGAGCCAGCGCAGCTCCCGAGCCGCAGGCGGTGCCGCAGCCGTTAAACCAGGCTGAGTTCAATTTCCCCTTTCCGTTTCCTGACAAAATACTCTTTACACAGGGAAGAGCTCGAGCTTCCCATGTACTAAAAGCTACAGAGATCTTGCTGTGCCTGTGAACAGAGGGTTCTCAGCGCTTCCTCCTCCCTCATCACCCTGTTCGATGTTTATACAGCCCCTGGTCCTGTTGTGTTTAACACCCATCTCCTGCCAGGCAGGTTTGGGGTACCTTGTCCTGCTGCTTTCGCTGTTCAGGAGCTGGGAAGCACATGGGGAGGGTGAATTCTGCTGCTTGTCCCCACATGGGAGAAGGATGGAGAATTCCAGAAGTGTTGATGGAGAGAGGCCTCTGGAGACGTCCCAGTCTGCAGCTTGTGCTCATCACCTTTCTAATGTCATTGGGCACCACCAAAAAGGTGTTTTGGCAAAGTGCTTTGGTTGCTGTTAGATCCTCCTTAGCCTCCTCCACCAGCCACCTTGCTCAGAATCTCCTCATAGGACTGTTGCTTGAATGTCTTCAGGTTTATGCTGGCCTGGTCTTCAGAAGCATCAAGGCCCCTTTAGGTTGGAGCTCTGCTACTTCTGTTCACTGCTTACAGTATTTTGGGGTTATCTGCAAATTCGCAGATCAAGGGGCCTCTTGATCATGTCTCATAAGATACATTCCAGGAAAGAGGAGAGAGAAACAGAAGCATTTCTATCCTGCCAAGGAGCTGCATGGTAACTTAGGCTGGTGCTTTGCCCTGCACATGAGCCCTGGGGCTGTGGATTTCCTTGTACCTGAAGTCTTGGAGGAGATGTAGAAGCTTGTACAGGGAGATGCCCAGGCAAGGCACAAGCCGATGATGCTATAGGGGGCAAGAGCCTGCTATTTGGTGGTCAGCTCCTGCCCTTTGGGTAACACTCCCTATACCCCTGCCTTGTGGTGGCAGAAATGGAAGGGTCGTTTGGGGAGGAGAAGCTGGAGCTGTTTCCAGCTGGGGTGACAACCTATACCCTGTCCTGCACCAAGGATCACTCATCCTGGCACCACTGCATTGCTCTGTGCAGGGGCCATAGCAGAGCTGTGAGCTCAGGAGGTTGGTGCCGTGGGTGCCTCTGTAAGCACAGTTTCCCATCATTGTCCCGCTCCCTTCCTTTTCCTGGCACAGAAAGGAGCTGTGAGGTCCCATGGCTTTGGGGACAGCAGGATTTCTGCTGCTCCTGGCTGGCAGGACCACTGGTCCTCAGGAGGCAGCTCATACTGCTGGGTCCTGAGTTCATTCTGCTAATGACAGCCCTGAGGATGTGCAAGCAGCAAACAAGGGTGGTCTCTGCACATGCAGATGTGAAACAGCTGTTGGAGCACTGCTGGGGGTGCCCCCTCCGGCCCTTTCACTCTGCCCATCCCTGCCTCCTGCCCCATCCCTACCTGACCTCCTGCCCTGACTCCGTTCTTTCCCATGCTGTTTCTGCAGGATGCCAAACTGGGGAGGAGGGAAGAAGTGTGGTGTCTGCCAGAAGGCTGTGTACTTCGCCGAGGAGGTGCAATGCGAAGGCAACAGCTTCCACAAGTCCTGCTTCTTGTGCAGTGAGTACCAGCCCTTCCCTTGCTCTCCCGCCCCGTGTCCAGGCAGCACCCATCAGCTTCTGTTTGTGGGCTGGGTGGATGCTCAGGAGCCTTTCCCTGAAAACAGCCTGGCTGTGGGAGCCGTGGGGCAGGGTCTCTGCTCTTCTCCAGACGTGGAAGTTAGTTCTGCTGAAGGAACTCATCATCTCAGCACACCAGGGGCTTTCCAAGCTGTCGCAGCCAGCACCCACACAAAGACTTTGTCCCTACTCCAGGGAAAGGCTTGGCTGGGTCCTCTAGACCATCTCCAGATGTTCAGGATTGGAGCAAGAGACAGAGACTCTTCAAACAGTGGTGGCAGGAGGTGGCACATCCCATGCAGTGCTCTGAGTTGATGCTAACTTGAATCTTCCAAATGGCTTTGCTGCACTAAAAAGGTGGTTGGGTCTTGGAGCAAGAGACAGGATCTGCCCCCGTGTCCCTGGAGATGATGGGAGGAAGATGAGCTCCTGTCCGGAGGGACTCTTCGTTAGGGACTGTAGTGGTAGGACACAGGGTACTGGCTTTAAACTTAAACAGGGGAACTTTAGGTTAGATCTAAGGAAGAAGTTCTTCACAGTGAGGGTGGTGAGGCACTGGAATAGGTTGCCCAGGGAAGTTGTGAATGCTCCAACCCTGGAGGTGTTCAAGGCCAGGTTGGACAGAGCTTTGGGCAACATAGTTTAGTGTGTGGTGTCCCTGCTCATGGCAGGGGGGTTGGAACTAGATGATCTTAAGGTCCTTTCCAACCCAAACCATTCTATGATTCTATGATTCTGCTGATGGAAGCCCTACTGTGAAGTGCTAAAGCATCACCTCCAGCCCGCCTGCAAATCTGCTAGTGCGGAGTGTGTTGTTTGGTCCCAAGTGTCACGTACAGGGAAGGGCAGCAGAAGAGGAACTGTCTGTGGGTTACCTCGGTGCAAAGACCCTTTCCTCTGCTTGCTCTGCAGCACCCTGCATGTACTCTTGGGCTCATGCTGCAGGTCCCCAGACTCTTCCCCTCCCTTTGGGGATACCAGGGCAGCAATGCAGAGACAGGCGAGTGGTGGTACAGAGCTGAGAGCAGCTCCTTGAACCTGGGCATCCACATCCAAGGGCTGCAGGACCTTTAAATACAAAGATGACCATCTCCTCGGCCTGTGTTTTACCAGAATCGTGTCCCCTGCCCTTGCAGGCTATCAGGATCATGTGCTAGCAGCATCATGCACGTTGCCTGTGTGTGCTGATAGCTCATCACACATTGCATCTGGCACAGCAGCAAGAGAAGTGCATCCTCACAGCAGGGTTGAACATTTCCTGAGGTTTAACGTTTCCTTGCCTGGTCCCTGTACCCTGCTCCCAGTCTCACCATCCCATTGCAGCAGGGAGGGAAGATGGGATCTTTGCCATATGGGCAGTGAGCAGAGCTAGGGCCTATAAACAGGCACTCAGCTAGAACTAATCTCAGTAGACCTATGCCAGCAGGGAAATACCAGTGTCCCCACGGGGCTGATCCCTGCTGTGCTCCCGTGTCCACCTGGCACAGACACCAGATACTTGGCCAGGCTCCTGGGCTTGCAGCGTGTACAGATGGATGCAGATGTGAGGGGAGCTGCTGCTCCATCCCTGCGCCCTGCACAGCGTGGCCGGTAGCTCTCTGTGTGGGATTTTCCAGCCTGGAAGCATTGCTTTGGCTCGAGAGGATGAGGAAGGGATGCTGCAGAGAGGCTTTCCCTGGGCTGTGCTGCAGGAAGCCCTGGTTCTTCTACAGACTCAGATAAGGAGGATGGTGAATGTTGCCCTCATTTTCCTCCACCACTGGCTTTTACCACCCAAGCCCATGCCAGTGGAGAAGCTCAGAATGGGACTGAGATCCCATTGCACTGCATCTGTCCTTCCCTGTGGCCTTCTGCACACATCTGGATTGCTAGGGACAGTGGCTGCCATGAGATATTGGCACCCAGAGCCATACAACTGGGCAAAAGGCATTGCTTCAAGAAGGAAATACATGGCCAAAGTGGGGAAGAAGGTCATCCCATGTCTGCTCATGGAAGCAAGTCACCAGAGAGTGGTCCAGTTGGGCTCCTGTCCCTGTGCTTTGAGAGGTTCATAATCACCCCCTGCCATGTATCCCAGCCATTCTGCCCGTCCTGCCTGCGGGGTCCCCACTTCAGGCTGTGGTTTGCAGGCCAGCCCATGGCGCTGCCTGCTCTCCCCAGTTCCATGCCACAGGCTGCGGGTGACACTGAGCTGCAAACTCAGGTTCCCAGCTTGTTCCCCAGTGCTGTGCTTGGGCCTCATCAGGGAACTCGAAGCCTTTATATTTAGGGGAGAAAAACAAATACTTTGACCTGATCTGCCCCAAAAACAATCAGAAAGGAGCCAAACATACCACAGTGCATTAGCACCGGAGATGGGCTGAGGGAGTGCCCTGGTGATTGACTCGGTGGCATCGCTCCAGCTGAGTCAACAGGACACGGCAGGAATGTTCTGTAATGAGACTGTTTGGCCTCTGGAAGTGGCAGCAGCTCTGCTCTAATTGTTTCGTGGAGCAACTCCTCTGCTCTTAGAAAAACAAAGGGTCCTTAACTGGGTGAGTGCTTTGTGCTGGAATTCCTGAGATGCAGAAACCGGGAGCTGGGGGCTGATTTCTAGGAAGCAGACAGGGAAAGAATTTTCCTGCTGCCTCTCAAAGGTCTGGTATGTGCTGGTACAGAGGAGGGACTGGGGAAGCTTAGGTTAGAGCTCTAAACCCATCCAGGAGGAGAGAAAGACAGATACCATCGGGATCATTAGGACAGAGCTCTTTAAATGTGCCCAAATTCCCCTCCTGGAGGGTCTGTCTGAATGCTCCCGATGAGCTCCAGGTGATGCAGAGACAACCCCAACACCAGCCCGGTAGCTCCAGGAGCAGTTAACCAGAGCGGGTCTATCTCAACAAGGATGCTGCTCCTGCCCTGGTGGGTTCACGGCGGGGGAAGGTTTGTAGCCAGGAGAGGACCCTGTCAGATCCTCCTTAGATGGCAGGAGCCGCTTCCCTTTCCACCTCCTGCTCCCAGCAGCAGCACTCGGGGCTCTCCACGGTCCATGTTTAGTAACGGGGCCGCGGGAGGCTGCGGGCTGTGCTCTGTTTGCATTCCTGGGATCTTGGTAAAGGCCAAGAAATGTTTCTGCTGGCAAAGAGGCCAAGGGGCTGCCGAGAGCCTCGACATTTAAGGCCTGTGAGCGTGATGGGAGG